TTGGTTAGTTACATATCAGCAACTACACCTACTTCTACATTCTTGTGCTTATTCTTCTGTTACATTCTGCAGATATTCAGGACTAATCTCACCTCCCTTTCCTCATGTTGCAGCAAGGCCATCCGGCATTCTTGCTTGTCAGCAGTCACTGAATCAGAGACTGCTGATCTCCCTCTTTCAGCTTAACCAGTGGCATTATGTCAGTATGGCCTTTCTCAGCTAACCAACTCTTAATAAAATCCTCCACACCTGCCAGAGCGGTGCCTGGAGATGGCCACAAGCCCTGTGCCGGACAGGAAGGGCCATCGGTGTCCTCCTGCCCATCTGCTGCTGGCTGCAGTGCTGAGGGCTCCCAAGTGCCTCTGGATGGGGCTTCTCTGGAGCTGCTGTGGGGCTGTGGCGCTGCTGCCGGCAAGCTTGGCCAGGCTGGGGGAGACCCTGAGGGGCTGAGGCACTGCTAAGCCCTGAGCAATTGGTTGGCAGAGGCCATAAGCAGCCCCCTGGCAGCCGCCTTGATCCCGACAGCTGGCTGCTCTGGCTCTTCCAGGTCGGTGGCCGGTTGGAGGGACCCCCTGGAATCAGGCGTGGAACCCTGGTCCTGGCCTTTCAGGGCTGTGAGGCCAGCTGTTGTGGGGCTGGGGGTGTGCCCTCCCAGTGCTCCAGACTGGAGCCTCCCACCCCTCAGCCTTAGGCATTGAGCTCTACTGCCTGATATCCAAGTCTTGTTCCTCTTGCTGTGGGGGAGGACGAGCTCTGTGGCTTTAGGCTCCATGGAGCCAGAAGAGCAGCAGCTTTGAGCCCACAGGGGCCACAGAAAGGCCCTCTTGGACCACGGACATTCCTGTTCTGCCCAGGCCAGGGACACATGAGAGTGCAGCAGGCACCTTCAGGGTGCCACGCTGGCTTTGCACTGGGCCACCTCCCTGTGCTGTGCACGGCTGGCTCTTTGCTTTGCTGCTCTCGGCCTTGTGTCATCGCACTCCTTTGGCTGCCTGCAGCCAGGGGCAGCCCTATCAGGAGGGTGAAAGGCCCTGTCTCTAACATCTCAAGGGGGAAATGGAGCTCTCCCAGCCCTCAGCCCACACTGTAAGCAGAGCAGAGCCTTTTCCCCAGCCCCGTTGGCTTTCTGCCTGCTTCTGGCCCCTGGCCACCATCACCCACTGCACTAGCTCTGAGTCACCTACAGCATGCCTGGTGCCTCTTGATTTGCTGACCCTGGGATGTGAGGCTCACTGGGGGAAAGGTGGCTGTCCCAATGCTGAGGGCACATGTGGCTCACCGAGCAGACTTGAGGCTTCCCAAGCAGCTTGCAGGTGCCTTATGTGTCATGTTACAGTGCTTGTGCTCCTGCCTCTTCCTGTCCCTCTTCTCACCCTCACCCAACCTGCACCCTCTGACCTACCTTCAATAAACCCTGTTGCATCAGGCACGGTGTCAAGAGCCCTCCTTCGGCTGCCGGTCAAGCGCACGTTACAACCTCCAGGCCTGGGAGCAAGGTGGGCTGAGGGAGCTGGTCTCTCAGACCAAGAGGGAAAGGCTCTCGACAGCACCTGCCCATGGACATTCCCCGCATCAAATAAAATCATCTCCAAGCTTAGCTAGTAAGCTAGTAAGGTATAAACCATTAATTGCCTGGAAATCTGGCACTAGTCTCTGAGTTCCATTAGGTTTCTTTATTGCTGATCTAGCAGTGTTAAACTTTGACTGCTATTCTTCCAATAGTCCTGATGTCAGGGATTTAATTGACTGTTGGCTCTATTCCTTTCCTAGCTTCTAATCTTCAAGGGTATTGCTTTCTGACTACTGCCCTAACTCTTGTCTGTAGCTCAATTTTCATAGGGTCTGCTGGTTTTGATTTTCCTGGGCTATCAGTATCCCATACTCTTGGGTACACCTGATTCAATACTTGCTCTGACTAGTTATTCTTATTTGTTGGTCTGGTGTCAATTGTCAGTCCTACTGCTAAAACCGCTCATTTGTCTTCAGGTACCTTCCTTTGAAGTTTTCTTTTTCTAAACGGCACTGTTGCTTCTAAATTTTCAAGCAACTCCCTGCATAGGACAGATTTGGGTGAGTTTGGTAAATAAAGAAACTGATGTATTCCCATTTTCTTCTTGATTTTACATCAAAGTGGTTTCAGGAAGAATGCATTTTCTGGCTGCCCTATAGTTGCTCCTATTGCTTGAAGATAGTTTTCACTTTTGGGTATCAGTGCTTGAGTCAAGAGTGAAAATGTGTCTCCACATTTCAGCTTTCAACTTCTTCCTCATTCTTTAGCTGTATTTTAAACAGTGGCCTGCTAGGGTAAGAACTGCCAGTCTCGGTCATTTCTTATAATCTAGAGTGGCTGCAAGAGTTTTGTGTACTTTGTCTGCTAACTCTGGGCACTGGCCCTATTTCCAGTGTCCTGATTTCTTACAAGATGCACATTGATTTGGCCCCAGCTTGGTCTGTGGCTGCTTTGAACCTCCTCTGCCTCTGCTCTTTTCGCCCCTGCCTCTGCTTCAACCACGCCTACATCCGTCCTCTCCCTGGTGCTGATCCAGAGCTGCCACCATGGCTGCAGGGAGCTCTTTTTCTTTTTCCCTCTCTTGACTATCATACACTTTCTACTTTTGATGTAGTGTCTAAAAGCTTGCGTGACTGCTCAATGTTCTTCGAACACTTCTCAAACTCAGACGGGCTTGGTGCTGTGACCATTTCCCTGGGGTGTTCCAGTTGGTGTTTATTTATCAGTTATCGTACAATGGTTTGTTTTCATGTACCCCGTATTTTCCCCAGTTTGGTTTACCCCTAGGTTTTGCCCTCCCTCAAAGCTGTCTCTACTGCCATTCCCCACTCTTTGTTCCAGCTCCTTCCCTGCCTCTCAAGATAATCCAGCTCTTTATTCCTGAACCTTCCCTGTCACTTTTGCCTTGGACCAATCCCTGACTGCACCACCCCTTTGGAATTCCTCCATTGCTGGAAGTCCCGCTGGCCCATGTGACCTACCCTCTCCTCCCATCTGTCCTAATTAGTCTCAAGCAATTGATGGAATCCCCTCACTCCTCCCCTGCAGATTCCTTATTGCTCAATCGTTTGTATCCACCCCCTCAGTTGTATCCCGATAAAATCCCGTGCACAGAAGTGCTGGCGGCTCTTTGCTGCTGAATCCTTCCCTTGGAATAAACCTTGGCCTGTGGAACCTCACAATCGAGGAGCCTCCTCCTTCTCTTTGGCCTGCTCCGTGCTGCAGTTAGGAGATCCTGAACCACTAAGCAGTGGCTCACCAGGGTCAGTCGCGGGCAGGACCCAAGCCTTGGCCATTCCCCACTCCTGGCGCAGCGCCGCAGTTTTCCCAAGAGCCAGCCCGGGCTCCGCTGGGCTGCGTCAATGGGGAACCCGTCCCAGTGCCTGACTGTGCTCTGGGTGAAAAACTTTGATCTGACATGGAAATGAAACTTGCCCTGTCCCAGCTCCCTGCCCTTTTCTCCAGTCTTATCACTGGTCCCAACAGTGACGAGAGCTGCAGCAGCCCCTCTGATTCCTCTCCGGAGGATGTTGAAGACCACAATGACACCCTTTACTCTCCTCCAGGCTGAACAAAGTGGCCTCAGCTGCATCTAGGGCTTCCCCTCCAGGCCACACTCCATCCTTGCCGTCCTCCTTTGCATTCTGGCTAACGGTTTCATATCTTTTGATATTGTACTGTCCAAAACTGCGCCCGTCTGCTTCCAGCACTTCTCTTGGCTGCTGCTTCAGGGTGTGGGCACCATCATCAGAGACACAGAAGAGCTTCTCCTCCCAGAGTTGTCCTTATCCTCCGCACTCCCACGTCTCTGCCTTGATGTTCACTGGGGAACTTGCCACTTTGTGGCCGCTCATTGCTGTGCTCAGCAGAGACATAGTTTTGTTTGGACATGAGCTGCCAGAGCAAGACATGCAGCAACTGAAGCTGAAAATAGCAGAGGCTGGGCAGATGCCATTTTTTCCAGAATGTGGGAAAGAGAGTGAGAAAAGCACAAGGAAATTTCAGACTGTTAACTTTGCAATCTAATTGCCCTGGGAAACTCAGCAATGGATGGTGCTCTGGTGCTACTGCCAATGCCTTCCATGAGAAAAATTCATTTCAGGAAGGAGCAACATCATCTGACAGAGACCAAGTGTGCCAGTAGTTGCTCCAGGTGCTCCTGCCATCAGCCCCTGCAGGAAAGAGGCACAGCCCCCAAGGCACGTGGCCTTTGGCTCCTTCTGACCCAAACAGCCCCGGCATCCCGAAATGGGGAGAGCCAAGAGGGGGGAGCTTTTGGCATTGCTAGGACTGCCAGCACCCTGACAGGGTGGGCACTGAGGATAAGGGGGACCCCCAATGCAAGGCCCCGTGACCCCAGCAGCTGGGACAGGGGGGAACCCCGAACACCACAGGGGAGCGACCAGGGACGGGGACCTTTTCTAGGGCTGAACCTTAGTGTTTGGGAGGTTTTTGTGAAGCACAGATGGCCAATGACTTTTAGAAATGGACTTGGGGAGAGGGACCTTCAAACTCAACATGCTCATCCCTTGTTTTCCCCAAACCAGGATTTTCCATTGCCAAGCCCTAGAAGGCTGCGAGGAAGAGGAAGATGCCCCAGGACACTGATGCAGATGAGGAGGAAGTCAGTGTCCCTTTCCCCATCTGTGCTGCTCCATCTCCCAGCCCAGCACAGCCCTGGCTGCAGCACAGCCCTGGGGGGATCTCCTTGCCCTTGCCTGTGGCACGGAGGCAAATCCCATCCTGTCCTTGTCCTTCCTCCCCCCTGGAGCAGGAGCTGAGCATGGAGAGCAGGGAGGACAAATGCCCGTGGCAGAACCTGGTGGAAGAGGCCGTTTTGAGCGGCTCCACCGTGCAGGAAGCCAACGGGGAGGAAAAGGCCCGGAGATGCCGCACGAGGAGGGGCTGCAAACGCAGCTGGAGGGGATCTGAGGGGGAAAGAGCCAGCCTGGGCTGGGAAGGTGGCAGGAGATTGAGCCAGAGCTCGGAGATGGTGTTCCACGAGCAGCTCCATGATGGGGAGAAGCCCCACACGTGCGTGGAGTGTGGGAAGAGCTTCAGGTGGAACTACAAGCTCATCGAGCACCAGAGGACCCACACTGGGGAGAGGCCCTACGAGTGTAGGGAGTGTGGACAGAGCTTCAGGCAGAGCTCCAGCCTGATCAGCCACCAGAGAACCCACACTGGAGAACGGCCCCCTGAGTGTGGGGAGTGTGGGAAGAGCTTCAAGTGGAGCTGTGACCTGATCAAGCACCAGAGGATCCACACTGGGGAACGACCCTACGAGTGTGGGGAATGTGGGAAGAGCTTTAAGGACCATGACACCCTTATCAGGCACCAAAAGATCCACACTAGGGAGAGGCCTTACGAGTGTTCCGAGTGTGGGAATAGATTTCGCTTCAACTCCCATCTCCTCCTGCACAACCTGAGTCACACAGAGGAGAGGCCCTTCTTCTGCCCTGAGTGTGGGAAGAGATTTAAGTACAACTGCCAACTCATCACCCACCGGTGCATCCACACTGGGGAGAGACCCTACAAGGGTGGAGAATGTGGGAAGAGCTTCTCACAGAGCTCTCATTTGACCCGACACCAATACAGCCACAGGTAAGGGAAGCCCTGCGAGTGCCCCGAGTGCGGGAAGAGCTTTGTGCTCTGCTCCAGCTCCATCCCCCACTGGAGGAGGCACTTTGGGCACAGCCCAGGTGACCCACATTCCCTGTGATCCATGTTGGGAGCACACCTGGCTTCTTATTCTTTTGGTTTGGCCTTAATTTTCTTGTCTTTTCCATCTCTTTGCAGTCCAAAAGTGAAGTGGGATCGATCTTACACCTCAAAACCACTCAAATCACACTGAAAACAGCTCAATCTTAACACAAAAGAGTTCAATCCTACCTCAAATTGCTTGTTTCCACCTCAAAATCTCAATCCTATGCCAAACTCACTCCATTCCACAGGTACCAGAGTGAGATGGGGTTGGAAGGAGATTGGGAGGAATGGGATCCCAATTCAGGAGCGATAGGATGGGATGGGAGCGTGGGAGCGGTCAGATGGGGATTGTGAGAGGCTGGGTGTGTGGGATGTATTTGATAGCAAATAAAACTTTCAGACTTACTGCTTTCTCCCCTGTTCATGTTCAGTCCGTTGCAGTTCTGTTTGCAGAGTGCCGCATCCCAGAGTGTCCCCTCACAGTTGCCGCCCTTGGCCTGAACCTGCCCCTTTCCCCTCACGGCTCTGCCCTTTCTTTGCTCCCTTTCCCCTCACAGTTCCTGCCCTTTCCTCATCCCCTTTCCCCTCATGGTTCCCGCCCTTTTCCTGCCCCCTTTCCCCTCACAGTTTGGCCTTTGGGAACAGGGGAGGAGGAGGAGGAGTGAGGGAGGAAGAGGCTGAGCGGCAGCAGAAGCAGCTGGAGAAGGGGAGAGGGAACCCTGGAGTCGCTGCAGCCCTGGGAGCATCTCCCCCCATCCTGCAGGTGCCTGGGCAGGGGGAGCTCGGTCCAAATCTGCTGGAGGGTGCCTGGGTTTGGGGTTTTTTGGGGGGGAAGTTTGGAGCTGGCAGGGCTCCAAAGCCGAGCCGTAGGTGGCCCTCAGGGGGACATCCGGGGTCCTCAGGAGGTGTTTTTGGAGGGTCCAGGGGCCAGCAGTGGCTGCTCCCAGTATGAGCCCAGTCCCTCCCAGTCATTCCCTATGATGACGCAATTTGATCTCAGCACAGTCCCAGTTCTTCCCAATTTCATCCAGTGTGTTCCCAGTTCTCCCAGTTGTCTCTAGCATAGTCCTGGGCACTCCCAGTATGATCCCAGTCTCTCCCACCAGGTCCCTAGTCCTTCCCACTTGCCCCCAGCATGTTCCCAGTTCCCCCAGTACATTCCCAGTTGCTCCCAGTGTGGTCCCAGTCACCACCCATATGGGCTCAGACACTCCCAGTATATCCCAGTTGCCCTGAACATCCTCGTAGTCATTGCCAGGCACTCCCAGTTACCTTAGGGTGGTTCACTTGCCCCCAGTTTTATCCCTGTTGCTCCCAGTTCCTCTAATTATGTCCCCAGTTGGCTCCCAGCACGGGCCTGGTAGCTCCCAGTAGCCCCCAGTCAGGGTCCAATGACACCCACCCTGCTCCCAGTATGATTGTAGCCACTTCCAGTATGATCCCAGTCACTTGCAGTCTAATCCCAGTTGCTCCCAGACACTCCCAGTACGATTCCAGTGCCCCCAGTGTGATCCCAGTTGCTCCCTGTCAATGCCAGTGTGACCCCAGGAGCCTCCAGTATGATCCCAATGACTCCCTGGATCTCCTAGTTTGTCCCAGTTGCTTCCAGTTTGTTCCCAGTCCCTCCCACTTCTTCCCAGTTGCTTTCAGCATCATTCCAGTTGCTCCCAGTCAATCCCGCCATGATTCCAGTCACCCTCAGAGCGATCCCAGTTGCTCCCAGCATGGGCCCAGCTGTTCCCAGTGTGGTTCCATCACTCCTCTATGGTTACAGACACTCCCAGTATTGTCCCAATCGAACCCAGTTGTCCCTGCTCTAGTCCCAGTCACTCCCCATATGATCCCAGTCCCTCCCAGCATGGTCTCACTCACTCCCAGTTACCCCCACTGTGGTCCCAGTTCTCCTCAGCATGGTCCTGGTTGTTCCCTGTGTGGTTCCAGTCATCTCAGTATGGTTAGATATTGAGAGTTTTTGCAGATTGAGGAGTTTTTGTTAGACAAGGGCCATATTCAGCCAATGCACAATCCAGCCTGCTTGTACTAATGGACAATGGACACATGCACGCACAATGAATAATGGACATATTCAGAAATGGGGTTGGTATATCCTTGAAAGAGATACAAGAAGAGTCATCGGGACTCAGCAAGTTTGTCAGCAAGCTTGGGAAAGTAAGAAAAAAGTGAGCCATGGGTGGGTGTCCTGGGTTGACTAAATGATGCTTTTATCTCCAATTGTCTCATTCTGTTTATGCTGAAAAGTAAGTTTTGCACCTTTAAGACTTGTTGCAGAGAGTGAAGGGGGGAAAGAAGAAGCGGCAGTTTTTTTTCAGATACTGCACTCACTCCTCCACATTCCTGCTCCGGACTGTGTTATCTGTGGATGGACAGACAGTGGGACAGAGCTCTCTTTTGCTTTTAGTTTAGCTGGCTGAGGCAAAGGAGACAAAGACGTTCCCTGGACTGTGGGGTTTTTTCCCTTTTCTTTGGACTTGTTCAAACCTGCTCTGGACTGAACACCAGCAGAGCACCAGCAGCTCCACCTATGGCCACCGGGCCAGGCCTGGCCTGTGACATTTCCAGCACTGGAGGGACTGATCAGAGAGAGTGAGCTGAGCTGCAACCCAGGGAGGGACTTTCTCAGTTTGTCATCTCTTTTGGAGCAGCAAGGGGTTTTATTGTTTAACATTGTTTACATCTTATTGTTTAATAAACAGGTTTTTTCCACCTTTGTCCAAAGAGGTATTTTCCCCCGGACCAGTTGGGAGGAGGGGCTGATTTAATCTGCTTTCCTACTGGAGCCCCTTTGGGATTCTCTTCCAAATTTGCTTTGAACCAGGACAAATACACCTATTGGCACCTATTGATTGTGTGTTCGTTGTTCTCACTCTCTAGTGAGTTAAAGCAGTCAGTAGCCATGGTGCTTGAATTTGTAATGTCCCTTGGGGTGGAGGCCTTCATGTGGTTCTAGTCTCTAGACCTTTTTGAGGTTTCAATACCTTTCTGGTCACTAGGATTATTGTCCATAACCCATAATTTTTACGGTAGTGCGGCACAGATTGGAATAGCTGTTGTGCTGGCCTTGGTGATAATGATTTATAGGGTGTTTACAAAGATACTGGAGTCTGTTTACGATATTTATGGTTTATGGTTTCTTCGTCCTACCCTGCATCCAAGTTCCAGTAGTATGTTTTGGGAATTTATTAGTAATTGCACCCAGATTGTTGGAGGAGGAGCAGGGAATGAGGCTTTCCAGCCTTTCCTTTCCTTCTTCTCCTTTGAATCTGTTATGTCACTTTTTGAGAATGTTCAGTTTCCCCTGAATGTTAAAGAGACCATCTTTCTGGTATTTAATCTGGTATTTAATCTGGTATTTAAGCTTCCTCTATATGGTCTGCAGCTTCTCTAGAATGAGGGCTGAGATATCCAGAGGAGTTGGTGAGATCCCTGACCCAGAAGAAGACCCAGGCGTGAAAAATCCTGAGTGGTGTGAAGAATGGGAAAATACAGGCTAAACCCTGAAGGAATTTTCTGATCCTGTAGTCTAGGATTTTCCACGGGAACAAATTCCGAACCCAGGTGAGGTGGGGAAATACTTAAAAACGAAGTGCCATGATCATTCTAAAGAGAAAAGGCTCATTGCAATAAGCTGGGCCCTGGTCTATGCTTATCACACTCTGTTAGATGGTGTAGGGCAGCAGACAGAGGCAGGGGGGCAGGGAGATAAATCAGCAGCTATCCCAGTCAGGCTACAGCCAACAGCCCAGACTTGAAGCCAGCAGCCAAACCAGATAGTGAGCCTAAGCCAGTATCTAAACCAGACAATAAGCCTCAACCAATGGCTGTTGCTACCAGCACTAGAAGTGGGAAATGCACTGACAAGACCGATTGACCAGTGGAGGATGATGATGATGGTGATGATGATGATGATGATGATGATGCAGGAGAAGGATCCTCAATGCCTCCTGACATAAAATCAGAAGTCAAAGCAGCAGGCACAAGATCAGAAGCCAATATTGAGTCCTTTTCCCTGAAGGATCTTCGTGCCTAAGGAAGGATTATACCTGATGACCTGATGAATCCATAATTAGTTGGCTGGTCCGTCTCTGGGATGCTGCAAGCAAGGCTACAATGCGGCAGACATTTTTTCACAGAAATCCTTTCTTTCAGATTTCTGTATCTTCTGGGAAGCAAAGGGCCCCAGAAAGAGAATGTAAACAATTGTTATCAGCTGCTGTGGAATGCAATAGGATGCACCTTGATTGGCTCATTTTCTATGTTTATAATTAAGGGCCAATCACCAGTGCAAACTAGGGGACTGAGTCCCTGGACACAACTTTGTTTGGGATTCTTTCTTTTCTATTCTTAGCCTAGCTAGCATCTGCAAACTTCTCTTTATTTTTCTATTTAGTATAGTTATAATGTATTATATATCATATATCAATAAATCCAGCCTTCTGATCAAGAAACAAGATTCACCGTCTCTCTCTCACCACCAGCGACCTACTCAGGACGCTGTAATACTACAATTCTGGACAACACTGAAGGGAGGCATTTGGGATCCCTGTCCCAGAATCCTGTCATCGGCCAAGGAATGATGAGGGGGACTAGCCCTCACAGCCTCTGGGCACGGGTCTTGGAAAATGTAGCACAAAGATTCCTGTGTGCAGATGATCACTATATGCAACATACCCAGTGGAAGACCATAAAGCAAGGGATCCAACACCTGAGAGAAATGGCAGTGGCAGAGATTATCTTCTCAGATGATGTAACAACTAGGAACCCAGACTTAGTACCATGCACGTCTGTGATGTGGCAAAAACTTGTGCGACTTGGGACACACGAATATCCTTCTGCCTTAGCCATGATGAAGCGGGATGAGAGGGATGAGACTGTGCTGG